GTCCAAGGTCACTGGATAGGACAGTGGAATTTCAAAGGTTTTTCACCCAATCAAGCATAATAAAACTTTATTTTGATGTGTCTAAAGGAATTGCAGGTAACGAAAGAGAAAAACGCTCCAAAGAAGAAATGCAAACAATTCTGTAGACCTGTCTGAAGTGAATTCAGGCAGATGAAATTCTCTAAAAATTGAATTTATACAGTGCTCCCCCTGTGCCTGGGGGCCCTGAGGAGAAAAGCACTGCCTTTGGACAGCAATGTGATATGACCAGAGATGTTCTTTCTAAAGCACAGTAAGTATAAAGTTCAATTTTAAGTTTTCAAAACTGTCTAAACAATTTGAATTAATCACTGCAGTAGATAGAGGGGTAGGGGAGCAAACTATTCCTGCTTACAGAGAGATGAGGGAAATAAGAAATACCAGAGGTTGTTCTCACAATAATTCACAGCCAGACAAGAATTCAGCAGCATTAGCTGTCTAATTAGCTAAATCAAAGGATTCCAGATGGTGTTCACTGAAGAGCACTTTGATGAAGTAAAGAGACTCCTAGATCTACAGAAACTGGGGATATTTGTCGATTCTTCAGACCTGTGCACGTTGGTATCCTGTTGTGTGTTCTCTCATGCTCAGCCCATTGCTGCCTCACTCACTCAGGACCTGAAAGAGCAAACAATGCTTGGTTTAAATTCCTATCCACACTCAGTGCAGTGGTGCTGAGTTCCTATTAATCTGGAACAGAGTAGCCAAATTTTCTTTGTCACTTGGCTACCTGATCTTCAGAATTCTCCCTCCTTTTTCTGCCCCCACTTTGGCCTCTGAGATTCTCTCTTTATATTCTTGCTGATTTGGACATTTACCCAGACTTTGTGCTTTGCCACTTGAAACAACTAGCAGATTTCAAACAGAACCTGAGGTGCTCTGGATTAGCCTGATCTTGGGATAAGGTGAAATTTGGAGGTTACATTAAGCTATCCAATAGAAACAGGAGCTGCTGATCCTTGTGGGATCACAGAAAGATGCAAATGGTCACTCTTTGATCTCACCTCTTGTGTTCCCAGGGGCTGAATGAGGTGTCTCCTGCCTCAGAAGAGGAACAGCTTGGTACTCATGAGTGTGTTCAAGATGATGCTCTTTGCCAGCAGAACTCTCAACCCCAAAACCCCCATAAACAGCATATTCATTTTCTCCATTTTGACATTTGCTTTGGAAAGAAGAGGAGGGAAGAAAGTGTCATCATGATGTTATCCCCACCCTGCCACACACACACCCCCCAGAAAGAAGGGAAGTCCACAGATCATAGCTGGATGAGGGAAGAAGGAACAACAAAGTATGAGAGAGGAATGTATCAAGTGCAGGGAAGAGAGAAGAATTACCTTCCCACTGCTGTTCTATCCCATGGAAATTTATCAGCTCTCTAGTCTGTTAACATGTAGTAGCAGGTTATTTCTCAATAAGTATTTCTAATTCTGACATTTCTGCACCAGAAAAAGCAATTTTTCATGTTTTGGTATTGAGACCATAAAAATAAATGCAGCTTATTAGTTGATAACTATCTCTGATTCAGACGTTTCTGTACCAAAGACATTGCATTGTTACTGAATCCTCACTAACGTGACCATACTCTGATCTTCCTTGAGGCTACTAACCTTTTTTTGAGGCATCTGTGAGGTTGCAAACATTAACTCTTCCAAATCCTTCAGTCTTCTCTTCTGTTGAGTGATAGAGACACTCTAAGTTACACCCAAACTATATAAACCAAGAATTACACAAGCTCTTTTCCAACAGTAGCCAAGCAGTGTTGGAGAATCACATGGCAGATCATTAATTAATGATTACTTTGAATAAAAAACTAACTTTCTACACATGATTGCAGAAAAAAACCCCTCATTATGGTTGAGTTGTACTTTTCTCTCCTTTTTGAAGGGAAACAACAATTTACAAAGTAATAAATCAAAATATCCAGGGGAAAAAAAATTGTGTGTCCTTTATTTATCTTGTCCCTATAATTATTTCATCTTCAATAAAGGTAGAGTCACAAATGTTAGAGGGTTTGGTTATCTTCAATAAAGGTAGAGTCACAAATGTTAGAGGGTTTGGTTTTGTTCTTTCTTGGGAGGGGAGAAGTTTAGGTTGGTTGGTTTGTTTGTTGTGCTGAAACAGCTGAATGAAGGTAATGTTTGTTAGGTGTTTTGGAATATCTTATCTTCCCCTAAGTGCCTAAATCTCTTTCTGACTGCACTGACTTTCCTTGCTAGATCCTCAAAGAGCAGAAAAATATCATGGAAGAGTCATATCCCCAAATGACATGGCATTTGGGCCACAGCACTGTACCTGCCAGGATCACACTGTCTTCACCCTTGGTCCCTCTGTGCTGAGCCCTGCAGGTCACCTCTGTGTCTGGCTCCACTGCAAAGACCTTCGTGGTACTGTATGTCCCCTCAGATGTGACAAGAGGTGCCTTCAGGTCATACACCACGACACCCTTGGGCACATCAAGGCTGATGTTCTTAGGGTAGAAAGTCCTTGCCAAACAAGCCACGTTGACTTTGTTGTCATGTTGTTTGGGCTCCTTCGATTTGAGCACAATGACTTCTGGGGCAGATCCTTCTTGAGTGTCTGAAAAAGAAGCATCACTTTGGGATGACTTTGTTTTCTGCATAATTTTCTGAGCACTAAACCATCTACAGTTCAGACAGTCCTGCCACCCCTGACAGCTGAGGGTTTGTCTGTGTTTGTTTCTTCCTCCTGGTTGCAAAGAGCAGTTTAAAGACAGAAAGGGAGTGTAAGGGTGGGAGCTTCTACCTGGAGCTTCTAATCCCTTGGGCTCCTAAGCTTGTTTTTACTAGACCTCATATACATATATCTCAATTTCTTTAACTGAGGGACGTTGACATGAAGAATGGCACTTTCAGGAATACAACACAAATGATATGTTCCTTTAATCACTATATGTTTGGAGCCTCTCAGGAGGCAAAGCACCCACAGTGTGTCCTTTTGAATCTGGATCCTTCTCCCACAGGAACTGAAGCTGCATTCATCTACCCCAACATGGGCATGTAAGAGTCCTTAAATTTCAGAGGCAACCCAAGGTTTGTACAGGGCTGGATGATGTGAGCTGACACCCAGGAACATTGTGTCCTGCCTGGGGAGTGTGTGTTCAGCTGGTGTTTTGCAGCTGAATGTTTTAGGACAACAAAAATCAACTCAACAAACTCACTCATTGCCTCAGCTTCCACACAAAGTCTGGGGAAGATGGTCTATCCTCACCAAGGACTATGTTCCAATATTGAAATTGGAAATATTAAAGGCTTGCTCAGATTTCAAGCAGTTGCTGCAAAAAAAACTAGTGTGTCCTGTCTTTCTATGGGAACAACTTTTTCCTGAAACTCTTTACATCTCCTTTTTTTCCTTCCCACACACCTTAGTGTTCTACAGCAGAAAGCAAATACCTGTTTACACCTCATACTGAAGCTGGGCTAAGACTCCATCCCCACTGGGTATCACCAAGTCTTTAATTTAGCAGTGCAGCTGTGGAAGAGGGTGAGGATCTCAGAAGTAATCTTGATGTGTGCAGCTAAAAAACTCTTTCTGTTTTTCCTGAAACCTTTGTGAGCTAAAAATGAGCTGAACTCAAATGGCTGCAGAATACCTGTTCAAGAGCTCCAAGGCAGGAGAAACATCTCATTATACTATCACATCACATAGTCCCTTTGTCCACCTCACCACAAACTTCAGAAATAAATGTACTTAATAAATTCATGTTAGTAAAACAAATGGAACTTACTTGGCTGAAGCGAGAGAGGGATTCCAGTCCCAAACACAAGTCTGTCGGTTGCCACACTGTTTGCACACAGGCAGATAAACCACCTGCCTCACCACCCTCTGAAGGTGTATAAAACCAGGGAATAAAATGCCAGAGGGTGTCCAAAGGATCCATACGTGGACAGCCATGAAAATGTTCCAAAGTCAGCAAAATCACAAAGGCAGAAACCAGCAGTTTTGTTGTAGAGTGATCTTAGAACAGGCCAAAGTTTTAAAAACCCTTTTCTCTTCTATCACTGCAGTAAGCAGTATAATTCCAGGATAAGTGCACCTAGGAATTCTGCAGGTATCCTCTTCAATATATTCCCTTTTCCCCCTTCTTCCTCAAAATTTATTGTTCCTTTGGCAGTCTTGGGTTTTTGAATGAGACCTTGCAGTGTCTGTATCACTGTGCTACTCCAAGTTCTCAGCACAGTGATACACTCAGTTACAAAAAGTGCCTCTTCCTTCCCTTTTCCTGAGCAGTATTTCCTGTGAGACAGGGAGTCATATGCCCTATATGCCACCTAAGAGATCACACAGGCTTTAAAATAAGGACCTCCAGATGGATCTTCCACTTGACTGTCCTCAACCTGACTCTCTGGGTCCAGAGCCTCATAGCTGTTCTTTAAGGTTAACTGGGGAGATGATGGGATTCTTTTACCTCTTCCATTCCCCTTTCACTCTCCCTAATGCTGCTTAACCTTTCTCCTTCTTCCTTGAGCTTTGCCATCATGCAGAGAAAAACACTCATCTGCTCACATCATGCACAGGTGTGACTCACACTGTCCTCTGAAAGTAATGCCAGACCAAAGCATTCTGTGCAGCAGTGACCTGCACAACTGAGTCCTTCACAGAAGGTTCTGCCTGGGTTAGAACATTCCTCCTGGTCACAGCAGCAACAGCTTTTGCTCACATAGATACCATTGCTGGGGCTAGCTGAGTTGTGGGGGGGAAAAAAAAAAAGAAAGGAAAAAAAAAAAAAAGCAAAAACAAAGAAAGAAAATAAAGCAGGGTAGCTGTGTCCTACCTGTCTGAATTTCCTGCTCCCAGCTCTCCCTGGGGTGGTTTAAATCCCCCACCAACGAGCTCCATCCCACCCCTGGTCAGCTGTGAGAGCCTCCCACGAGCAGCTGAGCTCAGCTCCAAAATGCTAATCTCACCTCCAGAGTTGTCATCTCTCTGGATGAGCAAGTGCTGAGGGTCATTTCCTGCCTTGGGAAATCTTGGTGTTTTTAAAAGTGAGGTTGTTCTTTATTAGGTAGAGATACCTTGTTCCATGGAAGGAGTTCTTAAATGAGGATTTTTTGCTCTGGATGGTGCAAAGCAGGTTGAGCAAATACTGCGTGAGGGGCAAGTTCTGCCCCCTTAGTGCCACCTGAAACAGAAGCTTAATATGCAGGCAAAGAAAAATGTTGTTTGCATCCATCCCTCATGTGTAGGTTGGGCAGCAGAGCTGATGCCACTTCAGTGATTAGCAGGGAAACTGTGGTAGGGAGAGTCTACCTGTTATTGAAGATGCTATAAAAAAATGTCCTTGCAATGCAAGGATGTAAACAGAACCACATGGTACATACAAATTGATTAAGCCACTTGGTTTTTGCACTAGGAAAAAAGTATGAGCACCTCTTCCCCCACCCCAGACAGTGTTTTAACAGAGCAGCCCTTGAAAATGAACAGATCAGGGTTCTCTTACCCTGAGGCAGCAACTCTAAGGTAACCTCATGTTAACAGCTTTGTAGGAAAAAGAAGACCTGAGTACAAGAAATACAACTTAATACTGGTCTCTCGCTGCTGTCAAGCTGAGGGAGGACAGGAAGGAAGGGAAATGTATTGACATCTTGGAAAAACATAAAAATTACATCTGGCAGAAGACAATCAGGCAATTGTGAGCTAGTGTAGGATCAACTCAAATGAATGGGACAGCAAAGGGAAAGGGTACAAAACTGCTGGTCTGATCACCTGCTAAAGGAGTGTAGAAAAATGGCCATTTTCAATGGAGAAATTGGAGGAGAAAAAGACGTGGAAAAGGCAGGAAGGGTGGGAGAATTGCAGCACTAGATTGAGGTGATGGACAGAGTGACATTGCTGTGAGCTGAGATGAAGATATAGGAGCCCATTTCAATGATTATTCTCAGCAGTAGAATGTAGAGTCATGATCTGTGTGGCTAGTCAAGAAAACCAGATCCTCCCCATGGTGGTAGAGTCTTCTTAACTCTTCTTACTCCCAAGGCCTACATTTGAGGGAGTTCTCTGAATGTTTTGAAGAGACAGTTATGCAAAAAGTGCAATCGACTGAGGTATTTTATCTGTCTAAAGTAGCTTGGGAAGTGACAAATTTCTTCAGAACCACTTGTTTCTCTGTAGTGAACAAAAAGGGACACAATGAGTAACTTAGATGAAAAGTAACTTTTAAACTGTGGCAAGTGAAAACATGAATCTGCTGCACTGGAGTGCCAAAAAATCTGGCATGGCATACAGTGATTGTCCCATTAGATGTGTTTTCAGGATGTGGTTGTCTGTGGGACAATGATGCTGTGAGGAAATGGAGTGTGTTGCACCTTCAGGTTTGCCAGAAGTCAGTTTGTGCTGGGAGATCCAATCCCCTTTAACCACTGTGGCACTGATCCCACACAGTGATGAACAGTCATACAAAATCTGTCTCTGCATTTCAGTGTCAGGTGACACCTCTTCTTTGATGGTTTTTGAATGCTGCATTTTGTCCTCCTCTGCTCTTTTATTGCTGGAGTGACAGTCAAGACTGGGATCTACATTTTTGTTCAGGGACAGAAGTTTCATTCTGCAAGGATGTGACCTGGCCAAGTCTTTGTGCAGTGCAGGAGAGAAGTGGATGGATTCACACCAGATCATGGCACAGTCACATTTTCAAATCACAACTGAGTGAGACACTCAAGTATATTTTGTAATTTTTTTCATCAGTATCTTGCCCCATTCTTCCCTTTCAGAAGTCCATAAATCCAACACATAAGAGTACCTTAATTCCTTCATTTCCCTGGCCAAAGAAGAATACAGTGTCTGATCAAAGTGCACCTTTCAGCTCACTTTTTCAGCTGAGTCAGAGCAGCCCAATGTTTAACACCATACAATCCTCCCCATGTCAGCGTGAGTGGCACAGAAGTGTCTATACAAGGTGTTACACCACACATCCACAGGGAGATCTTCTTGCTTTGCTAGAAGATACAGTGACTTGGCTTGGGTGGAAGAGCTGAGTTTATAAAATTGTTTGGGCAGATCCACCTCCAGTTCTGAGTTAATTGTCTTCCAAGGAGGGAGACTCCATGACATCTCTGGGCAACCTGTGCTAGGGCTTGGTTGCTCTCACAGTAAAAAAGTGTTTCTTTAAGTTCAGAGGGAACCTCCTGTGTTTCCAGTTGTGCCCACTGCCTCTTGTCTTGTCATTGGACACCATTGGAAAGATCCTAGCTCTGTCCTCTGTATTTACATTCACCCCATCCCAAGTCTTCTCTTCTCCAGGACATCCATCCACCATGCCCAGATCCTCCAGGGCTACAACCCCTGTCTTTTCAGGAAAGTGCTGGGCACGTTTGGGCTGCAGAAGAGAAGGAGCCATGTGCTCTCCTTCAGCTCCCACACTACCTCAACAGCATCCCTGCCCTGAGAGATGCCCTTGGATGGTCCCTCTGCTCCCTTTCCCCTGGGATTGAAACAGCACCAGGATAACTGTGAAAAAAAAGTGGTGATGGTGGGGAAGTCTGTGAAAGGAGGTGAAAAGTCTGTGCTGTCCAAGGGATTTGACCTGCCCATAGGTCTTAGACACACATGACATTTTTTAAATCTAACTTCCATTATAAATGTCAAAATTTACTGCAAATTCTGTTACTCATGGATAGATTGGGAGTTCCACCATCTCTCAATACTAAATCTCACTGATATTTCCCAGGGCAAGCCCAAGCAACTGCCATTTTGAGAAAGGGCCCTATGACCACAGCAGTTCTCCCCTTTTTGTGCTTCCTCTGCCTGCACTGGCAGCACTGTGTTCTGCCTGGTACAGAAGTAGGTGGCTGTGTCCGAGGCTGTAAGGTCATGCAGCTTCATGGTGTTCTTGCCTTTGATTTTATCTGCAGAAAAGTTGGCTCGGCCTTGGAACGTTGGGGCATAGCCTGTGTTATTCCCAAAAGGATAGATCCAGCCTATAAATTGCAGCTGCCCTCCTGGGGTCTGACGGACAGAGTTCCAGGCATACTTAGGGCTATCCAGAGGTGTTCCCGTTACAGTACAGGTGAGTGAGAATGAGCTGGAGACCTTCCCTTCCTTAGGACCAGATGCCATCATCTTTATCTGGGAAAGGGTAGCTGGAAAGACAAAGGGCAGGTGTGAGAAAGCTCATGGATGCAGTGGTCCATCCTGGGGGTGGAGGGTGCACAAAGGCAGAAGGGTCACAGGTTCTGTCTGCCCAACTCTTGACTCCCAAAAGTGAGAGATGAGACCTGGGTTCTGCTCCTCTCTGTGTCCCTTTGGGGTTTAGTTTCTCTTCCATGGGCTGGGTACCCCAAAATGGCCCTGTGCTCCTGAGGTCCCTCTCAGGACCTGCCTTACATCCTGCAATTGCTGCCAAGGGGAGACATGACAGTATCAGAACCAATCTGTCCCTGCTCCTTCTCCTCCAGCTACAGCTGGAGCCAGCCCAGAGCCAGCCTGGCTCTCTCCATTCCCACCCACAGCAGGACAGTGCAGGGCTGAGTCATTCTCTGGGGACCTGGAGAGATGGGCCAAGGTACCATGGCATGGCAGAGCTCAGATTTTCCTGGATCACAAAGATCCAGCCTGGGTTCCCATCCCTTCCAGCCCTGGGACTGGTGGGACAGTGCAGGGCTATCTCAGACCTCCATCCTTCTATCAGTCCTCCAACCTGGGGAGGGCAGGATAGGGCAAAGTGTTTTGGGAATGATACAGGTCCCAGGCAGGGGGAAACATACCACCACCACCACACCATGTCTGTGTCCTCTTCCCAGAAAAGGGAGAGCTCTCACCTCTAAGGGCTGCAGCAAAGGTGATGACCAGTAGTATCCAGCGAAGCATTGCAGACCTCCCAGAGGAATTTGCAAGGTGCACAGAGAAGCAGGAAAGTAAAATTGTGGAGCTGAGAAGGGCTCAGACCTTCCTCTCTGGGTCAGCAGAGAAACACCCTGTCCTTCCAGTGCCAAAAACTCAGACTTCCTTGTAACTCCAGGCAGATTCACACCTTTTCTGAGCAACCACTTTGCAGCTGCAGGTACTTCACACCCAGGGGAGTTGGGCACCTGCGTCACTGCAGTCCTGGGTGGGACAGGAAACCACATTGCCTTTTTTATACTGCTAAACTTGCAGCAGAAATGCAGGGACCTCTTATCTCCCCAGGGCCCTCCACCCATCAGAGGCTGTGACCCTGGAGGTGACTGTGGTCACGCAGGTGGCTGGAAGGGACAGGCACAGCAATGAGGAGAGGATTTCTCCCTGGGAGTGATATCCTCCCTTCCTCAGCATAGCCCAAACCTGTTGACACACCATCAGCCAAGGGTCACAACTATCAGATTTGGTAGGATATTCCCTTCTGGCTCCTACATGTCCATGTCACTGTGAGGTGTGTCCAGCTAGCTTCCCAGCTAGCTTCTGCTTTGAGCTTCAGGGAGTTAGAAGCTTGCCTTATCTCTCAGAAACCTATTTTACTCTTTAATCTACACCACTGTGTATATCTATCCCTTCCTATATCTCCACCTAAAAACATTCCTGTTCCACTGTTCCTTGTGGAAGGTGGACATCACTAGATGCATCCTGGGCTTAGAGCACAGCTAAGGAGTGTTTTCCTGGTCATTAAGTTGTGTTGTGTGTCACTTTTGTTTGTTGACAATGAAATTGTCCTTTGCCTGTGTGCAGGCAGTTCTCTCAGGACAGAAGGTGGGAGATGGTGCAAAGGAGCTAGAACATCCAACTGATTTCACAGAGAAGTTTGATGTAATGAAAAGTGATGCAAGTCCCAGGGGGCACATGACAGAAATGATGAGGAGGTGATGAAGGAGTTTGTTGATACAGTGTCTGGCCTCAAGGAGACTCCTTTTCCTGCTCACACAGATCTCCTTAGCAGACCCTCTGAATCACTATCTGTTGGAGCATGCTGCTATCACTTCTCCTCTAAAGTGGAAAATATCCTTAAAAAATAAAAGTCCTTTCTTTCTAAATGGTCATTGTAATCTTCAACACCCACTACTCCCCTGAAACCTCTCCAATTAGCTGTACAAATCCCAAAGACTTGAAGAAAATTACAGGATTTTAATGAGCCCCATGGTGTATTTGGTTCTAAATCTGTGAATCTCAGACACTGAGAGGAGATTGAACAAACTGCTCAAGGAGGCAAAGTCAGAAGGAAATTCTGAAGTTTCTTGGAGTATTAATTGGCCCCACTGAGGACCATTACTGATAAAGCCTCCCCAAGGACTCATTAGTGCTGAAAATTAAAGGCAGTGATGAGAGGCAACATGCAGGTGGCTCTGAGGCTGAGTAAAGCCTTGATGTGTTTACCAAGCCAAACACCAAGCCCTGACCATCACTCTCCTTGTGGAAGGGAGATCCTGTCTCCTACTCATGGCTCTTCTCTGGCTGCCTGGAAGTGTTCCAGGCCAGGTTGGATGGGGCTTGGAGCAACCTGGTCTAGTGGAAGTTGTCCCTGCCCATGGCAGAGGGGTGGGACAGGGTGGTCTGTAAAGTTCCTTCAAACCCAAACCATTCTATGATTGTGTGAAGTTCTGTCTCTAGGAGGCAGAGACTCCAAGGGAGCCCTTGGCTGCAGGAAACGAGCAATTTCCTTCAGCAGTACAGCTAGGGCAAAACAAAGAGGACATGCAGTGGGTATAGAGTCATCACCAGGTCTGGTCTCTGGGACAAAGCCCTGTTTCAAGGCCAGGTGGAGGTAAAAGATATCTTTCCAAGTTTTTCAACAGTGCTCACAGTGCTGATCATTCTTGTGATCTCTTTCCATCAGCAAGACACTCACCCTGTCTTTCCCGTCTTGGTTTAGTCTTCCAAAGCTTTGTTCTTTCATGACACAGTTTTCACAGAGTACACATCCACCCTATCAAACTAGGACAGAAAAATATTCATCACAAACAGAGGGTCTGAGGTCATTCTTGAGAAAATGGCAGAGCAGTTCTGAGCTGAGGGATTTGAGAAGCATCACAAAAAATGAAAATATGGGTAGTGTCTTCTGTTAAAACCCAAAATGAGAACATTTATAATCACTTAGGCCATGTAGAAAAGACAGGTATGGAACATGGCATGCAGAGATTGATTAACAGGACCTCTTGTCTGCAGAGACATGAGAAGTTTTGTGACAAGGCAGGCACTGGCCCAAGCAATAAGCAGTGCCGATGTGATGTTGGCAAAGTCATGGGGCAAGGGCTGAAACTGGATGGAAGTCTTGAGGTTTGTGTTGCCATGGCACTGGGGGGAATATGAGGTGTACGATGTGATGTTGGCAAAGTCATGGGGCAAGGGCTGAAACTGGATGGAAGTCTTGTGGTTTGTGTTGCCATGGCACTGGGGGGAATGTGGTATGAGGTGTAGGCAGTGTGGTCTCATTCTTCCACCCAATACCCAGAAATGTTTTGTACAAACCAAGTGCACCTTCTACCAAGAAATATTCCATACAATGCACCCACAAGGAACGGAAGATTTGACCACAGTCCCCACCCACAGCACTTTGCACAATAGTGGCTAGTAATTAAAAGTACCTCAGTTTTGCATCTAACCAGGGGATGAGAATTCCATCGGAAATTGCAGGGACAGATGAGTGGGTTTGTCCTCCTTGCTCCCCCCAAGGAGGGACTTTTTGATGAGTCTTCTCCCCTGATAGTGAAGAGGATGGAAGGTGTGACAGAAGAGATGAGGTCAGGGAAGACAAATGTGTTTGTATGAAGAGAAGCCAATCTTCTGGCTGCTAAGTTGGAAATGAGAAAACATGCCTAAGAGAAAAAAAACAAAGCGAACAAGAATAGATTGAAATGGTCTGGCTGCTAAGTTGGAAATGAGAAAATATGCCTAAGAGAAAAAAACCAAAGCGAACAAGAATAGATTGAAATGATTCTAGGCCTGAAAGACACTTGCACTGAGACAGCCTGACTCAGTGTCCAGGGCTCTCCCTATGTCCTGATGGCCAATATATTCCTGCCCAGGGATGGGTAGGATGCAGAAAGATATGTTGGCCTTGGGTCTTCCCTACTTTTCTTCTGTTTAAGCTTCTGTTGTCTTCTCAGCATCAGAAGGGGATATTGAGAAGCAAGAAACCAGGATGCCTTATGTCTGCCACATGTCCAGGAAGACAAGTGGCATTGAGCACAGGAGCACAAATGGCCAGAGGGAACTTCAAAGGGCACATTTCCACGTGCTGTCAGGGCACTGAAGAGCTGAGAGCCAGGACTGAGTGACTGGAGAGAGCCTTCATCACAGGCTCTAAGTAGCCATCTCCCACATACAGCTGGGACTGCTACCTGCATGGCAGAGGCACCTTTTTTTCTCAGTAGAAAGCAGAATTTGGGTGCAAATGAGTGATGGTCCAAAGTGAACAGGGAGCCTTGAGCCTACAGCCTTGGAGTAAAAAGAAAACCCAAACCATTATTTCTCTGGCCACACATTAACTAGTCATGTAATTCTAGGCCTCTCTTTCATTCATTCATTGGGTGGAGCTGTGGATTGTTCCAGGCTACACTGAAAGATTTTTTTACTTCCTTGGCAGATCATAAGTCAAAAGGTCATAGTAGAAGCTTTGCTTCTTAAATGTTCTTCTTCCCTCTTATCCCCCTCAGGGCCTTCCAGCCTAAAAGTTGACACAGAAATGCTTTGCATTACCAGACTTCTCTGCCCCAGTGTTCTGGAGTTCAGAAGTTTGGAGCACCTGGAGGTCCATGGTGAAGGATGGAAAGATGAGTTGTGTTTTGAGGTTGGCTCTCAGTCTATCTCACACCTCCACGTGATCACACAGGTCTCAGGAGAGATCACTGTAGAGCTCAGGTGTTGACCATGTGTCTGCTCTTCATCTTGAGAGCACGTGCAATGCAACAAGGACTATGTCTCTGGGGCTGCTGAAGAAATCTCAAATACTTCAGCTCCCTCCCTGGTTTAGTAGGTGGAACATAGGACTGAGAGGAGGACTGAAGAGGTAGGTAAAAAAATCTTGGCTTAATTGTAATTTCTCCCACAGTCATTGAGTTATGATGAACAAGCTGCATTCAACTGAGTCTGAACAGTTTCTGTTGTTTCTTGAACTCAAATATCACCAAATTTCTGTGTAGAACTTAGCACACTCATTTGCAATTCAGGATCAGTGACTATGAGCCAAAGCCAATGTCAATTTTTTTCAATTTATTTTTCTCAGCTGTAGCATATCATAGAATTTCATAGAATTTCAGGGTTGGAATGGACCTTACAGATCATCAGTTTAATCTGATTCATATAAGAAATTAAAGCTACTGGTGATATGCTGTGAGTGTTTTTCCTCCTTGGTTGGGGTGGGGTTAGCAGTGCTGTTATTTGTGGTGATTTCTTTTAAAGATGGAAAGTGTTTCACTATTTACTCCATTTTAAGAGGAAGAACCCTGCATGCTAAAATTTAGCAGGATGTTTTAGAACTGGCCATCTGCTGGCTCCAGGCAGAATTTTGAGGGAAGTTAACAAGAAGATTTACAACTGGAGTGAACCAGAGAGTGCTTTGCTGTGTCTGAAGTGCAGCCTGTGCTGTGCTGGAGAGGGTATGGCCCAGGGCTGTTGATAATATTACAAAATATTCTCAAATAATTCTACTTCTGATTGTGCACATTGGCAGAATGGCACAACCACTGGACTTATGCTTTCCTTTCCACATATGTATTCCAGGAGACACTTGGTACAACTGGTTTCACCTCATTTTAGGCACTGATAGACATCTGTACCTGAACTGACTGTTAAGACACCTGTGACCATTGTTCATTTTAGGCTTTCATCTCAGAACAAGACAAATTTGTCCTCTGAGGTGCCGCTGATGCTCTCCTCAATTTACCTCTGTATAAATCAGC